AAACATAAATGAAGATATATCAGACCTCAAAATTTTTTATGAAATTTGCGAAGCTCCACGGAGTGGAATAAAAATTGTATACAAATGCGATTTACATCATTCGAAAGAGCGAATCTTTATCCTTAATTTACTTTTTACGAAGCCCCGTACAATTTTTGTTCATCGAGTTATTCAACGTTGAAGCAAAAATGGTCCTTCGGATGTCAGAAACATCTAACATGAACAATTTTGTAAAAAGAAATCGTATGAATAATATTCGGAGAGCGGCACGCGCACATCTACTTACTTGTACGAGCCTCCTGATTATAGCTGTGATCAAATAACTTATACGACATCGTATACAGACATAATATTATACGCACTGAAATGTAGAATATGACAATGATTTCATCGGCGGTACTCTTTTATAGATAAACTCTCAGCCTCACAAAAAAATGGACTACTACAGTAGCCTCTTTTTGGCTATTTAGCTATTTATGTATTTGTTTTTTTGTTTCTAATTATTTTATTTTATTTCGTTAATTATTTCGCATTGAAATAATACAAATTTTGATACATCAAATAAAAATGTAAAGTTTTCTTTCTTAACAAATTTCTTTACAAATTTTAATACTATCCTTAATAATATTAAAAAGATTGCTCTATTTTTATCAAATATATTTGCAAGTTGTTGAATAAAGTTGGAATTCTTTCAATAGTAAACTATATTTAATTTAAAGTTGTAAGGAAAATTTAAATGAATAAAAATAAATCAACCTGCTTGCTAGAGGCCCTCCACCACCCCCGCCAACAGCGGTCCTCTTTTTCTAAGCAAACACCAAGTGTTACATGTAACAAACAATACAAGTGTAGTACAATAGAACACACGTATTATATTACATTACAGTTAATGTAAGTTAATCTTGTATAACAAATTACAACTAAGAGGTACGTTACGTGTAGCTTGAGGTTTACTGGATTTGATTTACTTTTTTTTATGTATTACATAAAAATTTAATATTTTTAACGTATTTATTTGATATCACATAATGTAGAACATAAGGAAAGAATTATAATATACAAAGAAAGAATTAGACATAATATAGTAAAATATAATATAACATAAAGAATAGAATT